AAAAAAAAAAAAAAAAAAAAAAACAAGTAATAATTTTTGTCCAATTTGGACCTTATTTCATAATCTTATTTGAGCGTAATGAATTTTGGGATCTCAATTGTGAATTTAGTAAAAGTACGGACCTTATTCAATGTTTAGTCAAATTTTAAAATATGCAGTTTTGGCTAATTCTGAATACCAACCCAAATTAAACCGAAAATTTTCAATTAATTAGCACTGGTTCTGGATAATAAAAGTGATGACATGTTCCCAAAAAAATGTGTTTGACGGCACAATAAGTATAATCAACTGAACTTTTCAATTATTAACAACTCTAAATGAATATTTAGTCAATAGCCACTTGGTGTTAACAATGTTAGACCTAACAATTTTTGTCTAATTGTGATTTTATTTGAGAATTTCAATTACTTTAGTGCTTTATTTGAGAAAAATAGAATTTTGAAACAATTATGAATTTAGTGAGAGTTTGGAACCTTGTTCATTACTTAAGCCATTAGCATATTTATTTAATTGGATGAATATATCTGCCGCCAAACAAGGAGGCAAAAGGAATAATATTAGTATTTCAGCTAGCTTATTCATTTATATAATGTATATAGTTGTTTGTTTCCCATTTCCTTTGGTAATGTTTGGTTTTATACCTCCTATAAATTTGTAAGTTACTTTGATGAGAAGGAATTGGTAATTTAATTTAACTTTTTTTTATTGTTTATTTATGCTTTCAAATTTTCTGTTGACGAACACTAGAAGAGGTCAATTTTTATTCACATTATTTATTATGTTTTAGGACCTTTTTTAATGGCGGAAATAGTAGGGGCAATCTTCGGTGCCTTGAGTTGCATTTGTGGTACTCCAACCTGCAACTGTATAGATCAACATAGAAATTTTAATGATGATGTAGATGAGCTGAGAAGAAAATTGGACAGTCTAACTAGCCAGAAACAAGAGATAGAATCAAGAATACAAGCAGAGGCTCGCGGGGGACAAATGGTTAGACAACAAGTGCAAGAATGGCTTAAGCAAGCAGAAGAGATCAATGTTAAACTGCGAGCATTTTTGGAAGAGGTGCGGGGAGTCAAGTGGTACAAGCGTGCTTGTCTTGACAGACTTGTTTGTAGAAAAATTAATATGGTGAAGGAAATGCTTGATAAAGGTAGTTTTCCTGAAGGCCTTGTTATTGAGAGGGCTCCAGCTCATGGAAACATAATTCCAACAGAGAATTTAGTGGGGCAAATTTCTATTAAAGAAGAAATTTGGGGGTACTTGATGGGTGATGAGGTTGGAATGATCGGAGTTTGTGGGATTGGTGGAGTTGGAAAGACTACAATTATGGAGAATCTCCACAATGATTTACAAAAGGAGACTAGATTTCAGAAAGTGATCTGGGTTATTGTATCACATCCTCTCAATGTTTTTAAATTACAAAATCAGATTGCTAATGCTATGGGTGAAAGACTTCGAGATGATGAAGAGGTGAAGATGCGAGCAGCAGCATTAATGGAAATAATGAGAAGAGTGAGGTATGTGGTAATATTAGATGATGTATGGCAAAAGTTCTCTCTTAAGGAAGTTGGAATTCCGGATCCGAATGTGCAGAATGGGTGCAAAGTAGTTGTCACTAGTAGATCAATTGAAGTATGCAGTTATTTGCGTTGTAAGGTTGTTAAAGTGAAACCTCTTTCACAAGAGGAGTCTCTAAAGTTATTCCTCAATACAGTTGGGGATAGTGTTTTACAAGTTCCAGGGTTGGAAGAAATTTTAAAGCTTATTGTGGGAGAGTGTGCCGGCTTGCCACTGGCCCTTGTTGTGATAGCTGGAAGCATGATGGGAGTTGATGATGTTAATGTGTGGAGAAATGCACTGACTGAATTACAAGATCTTGTAAGTAGTGTTAAAGATTCAAATGATGAGATAGTTATGCGGTTAAGATTTAGTTTTGATCGGTTGGATAGTTTGCAAGTCAAGAGTTGTTTTCTTTATTGCTCCCTCTTTCGGGAGGATTATGTGTTTTCTAGAAGGGAGTTGATAGAATGTTGGATTGATGAAGGACTGATTGATGGGTTGCCAAGTAGAGAAGCAGCTTGTAATAGGGGCCATGCTATTATAGATAGGCTCGAAAAGAATTTCTTATTAGAGAAAGACATTGTTTGGTCATCTATAAGCCTAGGTGGATGTTCATTTGGTAGTTATGGTGCTAAGATGCATGATGTAGTGAGAGGCATGGCTATCATAGGCATTGGTCCTGAATTTGGATATATGATAAAAGCTGGTATGAATTTGGTAGAGCTACCAGATGAGCATGGTTGGGTAAAAGATCCTAAGAAGTTGTCTCTAATGGAAAATAACATTTTAAAAGTTCCTCCTAGTCTGTCCCCAAAGTGTTTGAGCCTTTCGACTTTGATACTATCAAGTAATCCTAATTTGTCAGAGATTCCAGAATCTTTTTTTGGAGAGATGCTTGCTTTGAAGGTTCTTGATCTCTCTAGCACTGCTATTGAGACTCTACCTAATTCCATCTCTAAATTGGAGAATCTATCTGCCCTGCGGTTACAGCATTGCATGAAGTTAAAGTACTTGCCTTCCTTGGCAAACCTCAGGGGATTGAAGAAGTTGAACCTACACAAGGCAGGGATTGAGGTAGTCCCTCACGGCATGGGCATGTTGATAAGTCTTGAATATCTTGATTTGTTATTTTGTCAAAATCTGAAAGAGATTCCAACAGGAATATTACCTAACCTTTCTAGTCTCCAGTACTTGGCAGTATGTTGTTTGCAAGAAACTACAATAATAAGAAATTTAGAAGAGGTTGCTAGATTGAAGAAGTTGGAGACTTTAGAATGTCAATTTGATGGCATACAAGACTTTAATCATTTTGTCAACAAGTTCAAAGATTTCCAAAGTGCTATTGCTTACAGTCTTGGAGTTGGGACAGCAAGAGACATGATTAGACAGAGCAAATATGAGCTTGCAATTACTGAATGCGAGATTGGGGAAGAATGTGTAGTGCTTCCAAATAACCTTGAGGATTTGTGCATAATTAAGGGTAGAAATATGAGAAGCAGCTTAAACAAAACAGTTTTGTTAGAAAATGCAAATGAGTTGAGAAGGTGCCATATTTGGGAAGGTAAAGAGATAGAGTGCGTGGTTGAGTTGGACTCATCCTCGTCCTCCTCATTGTGTTGTCGAGTACTTGATAAGCTTGAATTGCTGGATCTTCTGACGTTGCCTAAGTTATGTGAACTTGTGAGAGTGGAAGGAGCAGCAACACCACCACACATCTTTTCCAATCTTAAAAAACTTACAATATCCCATTGTTCAAGAATGAGGAAATTGCTTCCACTTGAGCTACAGCAAGCCTTCCAAAACTTAGAGGAGATTTATGTCAATGTGTGCAAACAAATGGAGGAGATAATAACATCACTAGATTCAGATGCATCATCGGATAAATTCACTTTTCCCAAGTTAAGGAGATTGTTCTTGACGAATTTACCCCAATTGAAGAGCATTTGCAGTGCCAAAGGAGTTATGGTTTGTGATTCTATTGAAGAAATTGCAATATCAAGATGTAGAGAATTAAAGAGGATCCCTGTGCAGCTTCCACTGCTTGATAATGGCCAACCAACTCCTCCTCCTCATCTCAGAGAAATCGAGATGGATAGAGACGCAAAAGGATGGTGGGAATCAGTGGAGTGGGATCACAAGAACCTACTTCAACCTTTCTTGAAATATTCTGATTGAGGGGTAAGGTGTTGATTGATTAAGTATTCAATTTCTAAAATTTTAAGAATGTTGATTTTATTTATTTATTTTATCTATTTTCCAATTCCTCATGTATCATTTGCAATCCAGATGGAAGGAAACAATTTCTGTTGATTTGAAGGCAATAAACGATCACGATCCAAGACAAGAAATCGTCAACTTAAATTTCTATGGTAACGGCCCTAACGGACGGCCAGGATGAGCGGCCACAAATCCTTTGTGTGTGTATTTGACACGTCCAAGTAAGTCACGTGTGGCCCCGAGTAGCACGTGCCAGTAAAACCCTTCTTTTTCTCCTTTTCTTCTCAGTCCAGTCCAGTCTTGTTATTCTGATTCTGAAACTGGATGGAAGAGATCCAATTGAGTTGAGTCCAACCTCTGCTTCCCCAATTTCATCTGAGATTCTCGCCAATCTAGGTACTATATATGGAATCAAATCTCTTTTATTAATGTATGAGTTATTATGATTTTAACTCTTTAACTCCTTTCATGTTTCTTGTTCCATTTACGTAATTCCAAAATCTACTGCAGATTTTCTGAAATGATTTGTGTCAGCTAGGATTTTTGGTGGCTGGTCTTTGTTTGTTTAGGGGTTTCTTATTTTCTTAAATGGGTTCCTTCGGGGGGTATTGTTATGTTTTTTAGAGAATTCCGTAGTTGGTTCTAATAAATTTATTGAGTTGTTTAATTTGTGATAATCAGTAATTAGAATATTTAAATTTACCTTTTTCTTTTCTGTCTCAGTTGGAAGTAAAATCATTGAAATGAAAAACATGCAGGATTTCAATTTCAGTATTGCAAAATGCCAATTTTGGCACAATGGGTTGGCAATTGGCAGGAAGAGTCCCAGGCTCATGTCTCTGATGAACTCCAAGTGCTCCTAAGTTGTATCATTTCGGATTTTTGCACAGGATTTGGTGTCATAAACTCCAAGTAGTGAGTATTGATTTCACTGTGTTCATTTTCTATCTGTGTCTGTATTTCAATCCTAAATTAACCTTCAAAATTAATATTATGATTCACCTGCTTCCATAATAATATAACATGCTTTGTAGTTTCTTTTATCTTATATTGCTTGGTCTCATTCTGAACAATTTTACTAAGTTCAGTTTTTACATTTATCTGATATTTGCATATTCACATAGGAGGTATAGGTTCATTACCAAATATATGGGTTTGGGATTCTGCAAAGTTGAAATCCAGTTGTGCACTAGAAGACGTAAGAATTCAATTTTGAGTAAGAATTCAATTTTGAGTTCCAATAATGCATTTCCTTAAACGATAAGCAGTAGAAGTAGAGCATCATTGCCTAAATTGATTAATTCTTACATGCGTTTAATATATTATAAACCAAACTTAATAATTACAATCTGGAATTCACATTACTGGAGTGATTCTGATACTTAATTTCTTCTAAGGACTGTTCACTGATTTTATCCTTTCTTTCTTTTGTTTATTTACTTCTTAAAACACTTATAATAGACTATTGTTCAGGAATGAGGAAATTGCTTCCACTTGAGCTACAACAGGCCCTCCAAAACTTAGAGGAGATTAGAGTTTGGAATTGCAAACAAATGGAGGAGATAATAGTATCATCAGATTCAAATGCATCATCAAATAAATTCACTTTTCCCAAGTTAAGAATATTGCTGTTGGTTTATTTACCCTAATTGAAGAGCATTTGTAGTGCCAAAAGAGTTGTGGTTTGTGATTCTATTGAAGTAATTGTAATATTTGAATGTCGGGAGTTAAAGAGGATCCCTGTGCAGCTTCCCCTGCTTGATAATGGCCAAGCATCTCCTCCTCCTCATCTCAGAGAAATGAGGATAGATGAAGAGTCAAAAGAATGGTGGGAATCAATGGAGTGGGATCATCCCAATGCTAAGAACCTCCTTAAACCTTTCTTGAAACATTCTACATATCCATGAGTTTGAGGGTAAGGTGTTGTCAATTGATTTACTACTATTTAATTCTAATTTGAATTTGATTTGATAATATATTACAGTAAGTTGCTGAAAATTTGGGAAATAATTATTGCAGTGTGAAATGAAGAGCTGCAAACTGCAAACTGCAAACTGCAAATGCAAAGGGAGTTGTTGAGTAGACAAATCATAACTTTCCAGAAATTAAAGTCACGTGCCACCTCAATAACACGTGCCAATAAAAGCAATTTCACGGTTCGTTCATTCCCTCCCCAACAAAAACAATTGGGGTATTCTAGAAGAGAAAGAGATCAATGTTTCTGAGATGGAAACCCTAAATGGGTATATTCTGGAAGACAAAGATATGCAGCCTTTGCTCCCTCACAAACTCCAACTAGTAAGTGTTTAGATTTCACTATCTCTATTTTGATTTGATTGTAACTTTATTTAGTTTTTGTGTTTAGATTCATATTCCACTTTTCTCATCTAACAAGATAAAAAATTGTGGGTGATAAGATTGTTTAATATATGTGGTTGGAGGAACATTAATATTATTTCTTTATTTATTTATTTTTTATATTTTTATTTAACTTTATCTAGACAATTTGGTTTCAGGGTATGCTAGCTGGAAATGTGCCCCCTGTAATTGCCGGGTAAACTAGATCCAGTAAGGCCTCAAGGAGAGGAAGTTTTTAGGTTTCTAGGTATGCTTTTTGGGTTCTTAATCTAAAAGCTTTGCATGAGAGAAAGTTTTTGACAAAAATTGGTAACATTTTCAGGTTTCCTACAAAACTTTTTGGTGTCATGATAATGAATTGTGCAAAGAGGTGAATTTTTCCTTTCTGAGAGTGCAGTTAAAGTTCACATATGCAAGTCAAAGCGTGGAGACACATACTCATGATTGTTATCTATTTAGGCTACTTGCAGAGTTTGTTTGAAAAATATGGTCTTGCTTGTTGATTAACAGTCCTACAAGTTACCATATAAAGCTTCTTAGTGGAGTCTTAAACTCATAGGTTAGATTTTCCTTAAAAATGGCATCTCATTATGAACAATTTTCTTCTGTTTATTTATTACTTTTACTTTGTTTGGTGGATTAGCCCCAATCTAAACTTCTAAACCCCCTCCCTAAATCCAAATCCAAATGTGTTTCAGGAGTACAATGCATCAATTGAGTGCTATGGGCTCCCTTCATGAGTCTGATTCATACCATTCAACGTATCATACTGTCTTGAGATGACTAGTGAACCTTGCTGCCATAGCCAAACATGGCAAGAGCTAGGAAGGAGTTGATGTGTCGGTGTTTGAGAGCTATCTTTGATGGATGCACAATCACTTCTTTAAGTTTGCTCTTCTCCTTTGTTTGCTCGCCTTTTCTTATAATCAGACACTGTTTGGCTTGCAATTGGGTTCGTAGGTCTGTTGCTGCTTCTAATTTATTTGGTCTAACGAATTTGATTTTCTTTAATTTCTTTTATTAAATTTACAAGTATATTGCCTATTTAGATCTTTTATCTTAATTCTATATGCCTATGTTATCTTTAAAGTATATATATTAAAAGAAAAATTTTATTTATTTATTTATTTTTGCGAGAGCTTGACTTTATTAAAAATCTCCAATATCTTTCATTCTGGAATTGTTTTTTAGCAATTGTTAGTTTCTTTTTCTTTAAATGTGCTTTTACCAATAATTTGTAGTTACTTAACAAATTTTATGAGTTTTTCTTTTCGATATTGTAACTAAATAGACACATGACTGACTAACTATAGATGATCATATTTAAAATTTGTTTTTCTTTTAGGAAAACGACTTTAGCTCCAAAGAATTGAGTTTGCAACTAGATCTGCTGCTATTTGTAATTTGCTTAATTTAACTATCATTATCATTTTCTTCAATTTTATTTATTAAATTTGCAGATATAACATCTAAATCTTCCATCTTATTCTTGTTTTTTCCTTTGATATTCTTTCATATTGATTCTTTTAAGTTCTTTTTTATCCTCATAAAATGAAAAAGTAAGTATAAAAATGTATCAAAGGAGACAAACCATTTTAAACCTTAGTGTGTGGCTCTTTTGATCACTGGGTAATTGTTTCACCCATCCCACTAGATTCAAATTCCCTTAACCTCCTTTCCCTCTTCCTATCCTCCAATTCTTGTTGTAAAAAAAAA